GTGGGAGGGGTGGTGGACAAATGACCCAAAAAGGTCCAAAAAGAGACAAGGGGGTCGTTACAAAAAGTGAAGCTTCTTAAAAGATCGAGCAAAAAGCAAAGGCCAAATCCCCTTATTTGCACCCTCGACTTAATTTTTTTTCGCGGTCAACACCTTCCAAATAGTTTTCTCCCTATTCACACCCTCAACTATTCAAAACCTGTAAAAAAAACTCAATATTTTAATGCGCCGTCACAATACTGTTACAAAATGCATTACGTGGCACCCAAAAATTGACGTGGCCACTTTGTGCCGTTAGTAATCCAATGTGAATGCCTTTTTTTGATGATGTGGCTTATTTAGGTGTTATATGATATTATTTATCTAACGTGGATGATTTTTTGATGATGTGAGATCATGACATAGCATAATTTTTATGTGAAAATCTCCCAACCAAAAAAAAAAAAAAATTTAGAACATGTGCTCTTGCCGATATGGGTTCCTCACGACGAGGAACCCAGAGCTGGGTTCCTCGTCGTGAGGAACCCGATCTAGATTCCAATCACCTAAAATTGTTCATTTCTCCACCACTCATGAATACCAACTCCCCTCCATCTCATTTCCATATATGTTGTTGCAAAGATACAAATGAAATGTGACAAAAAACACAAGCTAGCGACTTTGTCAAGCTGCAACAAACACAGAAAATAGGAACACCTTGGAAGAGCATATATCTTCTCAAATGCTGCCTTTACATTTAGAGTGATGAATTTCCCAATTAAGAAGCACACAGTTGGGTTCCTCATGGGTTCCTCACGAGGAACCCAACTGGGTTCCTAGTCGTGAGGAACCCAGATCGGGTTCCTCACGAGGAACCCAGCTTGAACCCGATATGGATTCCTCATGACGAGGAACCCAGAGTCGAGTTCCTCATGGGTTCCTCGGGAGGAACCCAGCTCGAACTCGATCTAGGTTCCTCACGATGAGGAACCCAGAGTCGGGTTCCTCATGGGTTCCTTATCGTGAGGAACCCAGAGCTCCTGTTCTTATTTTTTTTATTTTATTTTTGGTTGGGAGATTTTCACATAAAAATTATGCCATGTCATGATCTCACATCATCAAAAAATCGTCCACGTTAGATAAATAATATCATATAATGCCTAAATAAGCCACATCATCAAGAAAAGGCATTCACATTGGATTACTAATGGCACATAGTGGCCACGTCAATTTTTGGGTGCCATGTAGTGCATTTTGTAACGGTACCGTGACGGCGTGTTAAAATGTTGGGTTTTTTACGGGTTTTGAAAAGTTGAGGGTGTGAATAGGGAGGAAAATATTTGGAAGGTGTTGACCACAAAAAAAAAAAAAAATTAAGTGCAGTGTGCAAATAGGGGCTTTGGCCTTCTTTCTAACCTTACTTTATTTTCTAAATATTTTTAGATAAAGAAGAGTGTTCTGAGTAAGGTGACTCTATAGGTAGTACAAATTCATAAAGTGTTATTATAAAGCTGTAGTATCCTGGGGGTGACATGTTTTATGTATCTCTGCTGCACTAGTTGATCTACTCTCTGCAGAGGCATGAATCACCTTAAAATATGTAAGCTTTTCACGCCTATTTCGATGATATTTTCTTATGGATATTTTTTTATAAGTTCATTAATTATTATTTTATTTGATCTTGTGACTGAGGCACAATAATGACATAATGTGGAGATGGAGGAGAGTGTTTGAAGAACAACAATTTTAAGGCGATTCAATGTGCAAAGCAAAAGTAAAATATATGACGTCTTGTGTAAGCATAATAGAAAATTTTGATTTTTCTTAATATATGTGCACCAAACAAGTATAAGTTTCTGACCCTTCTACAATATCCGATGCTTTATCTAATTAGTTAATCACTATCCAATATTCTAATTGTATACTAGAAATGATGGAAACTTGGAATGATTAATTATGGGTTCATGATTTTTCTTGGGTTAAACACACGAAGGTATTTGGTCATTGTACAGCTTGCCTAAAACATAAAGCATAAACATGCATAATTCTTGTGAAACTCAGTAGCCTTCTATGTGCAATTCTTAGGAAAAATTAGCATTTCATGTTATAGCATTTGGTATTAAATACATATTAAGTTTGTGCTACTTAATTAATAGATTAATGGTGCATTTTGGCCATTACTAGTGCTATAATGGCTATATTTATAAGAATTATTAGCTAGCCGTTTGCTCTTAATGCATGCATATTAATTTGTGGGGTTTTGCCAACAATGAGTATATCACACCAGCCGTTTGAATTAAATGTGATTGTGGAGCAAATATATTAACATGATATATTTGGGATATAAAGGCTTTATAAATTTGAGGATGCTTTCTTATTTTTGCTGTTTAATTAGAAATGCTCATGTAAGCATGTATGATCTATTATAATTATTTTGTTATTAATATACATCATTGATATATAATAAATTGATGATTACTATTTTTAATGGTTAAAAAATGATGAATAAATATATGCATTTAATTGACTATTTTATTGAGTTTTTTTATGAAATAAGTGAAACTTTGAGAACTCAAGTGAAAAGCTACTTGAGTTGGTCCATGTAATTATTTTGGTAAAAATGGACATGATATTTGGGTTGATATATTCCAAAAACGTTCATTTGTGGCAACAAAATGTGAGATGAGCTAATAAACTCTTATGAAAATCTTGTGAGAAAATGAGTTTCTTCATGAACTCAATTATTTTAGGAATGTGAGAATCACATATTTGAGATGCTCCTAATGTGGGGGATTGTGATGTCCCTATGTATTATTATTGGTGATGAGACCAATGATGCATAATTGAGATTTTGCATAGCATTCCTATTATATAATAAGGTATAATGGTGCTTGACAAAGCAAATGTGATATGCACTCCTATTATACAATAAAGTATAATGGTGCTTAACAAAATAAATGTGATATGCATTCCTATTACATAAGTATGGTATAATGGTGTATGATGAAAAAAAAATAAGAAGGCATTTGAGAAAAGGGGTATGTGATGGAATTTCCTATTGTACAACAAGGTACAATGGTGTTGGAATTTCCTATTGTACAACAAGGTACAATGGTGTTTGAGTTAAAAACAAATTCTTAAATGCATGTCTCTACATGTATGAAAAGGAAAAAGGTGGTTCACTAGCTTGATTTGATATCAAAATTGTGGTACTATGAATTAAGAATTTGAGAAAAATGAATGTGAATTTATGAGCTAGTAGATGTGTGGGTTGATGTGAAAAAAGTGTGAAAAAAGAATGAGTTAATTTTCTTCATTACCCACTATACCACCAACTAAGCCTTTGGCAAAAACAAAAGTTAGAGGAAAATCTATGATCATAGTCCAAGGTCTAGTGCTCATTGAGGGGAATGGGATTCAAACCCAATAATGTAGAACTTCTTATGATGATACCCAACCCGAATTCTAAAAATTGGGTTTTGAATGGGAAAAACAAATCATAGAGAAGTTGTTGTTGAAAGATGCATCAATATTTAACAAAAAAAAAAAATTGGGTCACATTTCTAAGGTGAGGATGCGTCTATCTCATAACGAATTGATGATTGAGTTTTATACTCTTAATGAAATTTGTAGCTCATAGAATGGGGTGTCTTAGTTATGAGAGCACCCTTAACAAATTTCACCTATATGGGTGTCGAAGTGAGGCTGCTTCTATGAAAATTGGATGGGCAATTTTCTAGATCACCCATAAAAATTGGGATCATGCGCAAGGCCATAATGTGCTAGCTATATGAAAAACTCAACCTTTGGATCATTATGTGTATGATACAATTCTTGTATCTTCCAAGGGAGTTATAGTTCAAGACTTAGTTCACTATTGACTTTGGATTAAGAATTATTGACTCACTAAGTAAAGGTTCAAGGCTTAGCTATCTTTATTATGCATAATAATCCATCTTTACCCAAAAGAAAAGTTTATTTTTTATTTAAATAGTAGGGGAATTGTTGGAACTTAAATATTTTAATAAAAATAAAATAATATATTTTAGAAATTAAATTTATTGTCCCATTAAGTACTTGATCAAATTAGCCATTGTAGGTTAATTGTCTTATTTAATGGCACATTATTTCATAATAATTGTCCAATTTATTCTTATCATTAATTTACAAATAGAAGTTACAAGACCATGAGTCCTATAAATAGGACATCTCCTTTTGCTTAATAAAGAGGTTCCTCCACATTCCTCTATTCTTTCTTATCTTACTTTATTTTCTAAATATTTTTGGGTAAAGAAGGGTGTTTTGAGTAAGATGACTCTATGGGTAGTGGAAATCCATAAAGTGTTATTATAAAACTGTAGCATTTTGAGAGTGACATGTTTTATGTATTTCTATTGCACCAGTTGATCTACTCTCCGCAGAGACGTTAATCACCTAAAAATAAGTAAACTTTTCACGTTTATTTTGATGATATTTTCTTATCGATATATTTTTATAAGTTCATTAATTATTATTTTATTTGATCTTGTGATCGAGACACAACAATAACATGATGTGGAGATGGAGGAGAGTGTTCGAGGAACAACATATATAACTTTTGCAATTCTCTGTTTCCTGAACTCAACAACAACAGTCAATAGGAAACTATAAAAAAAAAAAGGGGTTTTACATATCTTTCCTACAGACTTACCTGTGTTTTGGAAAATATCAATTTTTATACTATGAAATCGTCCACATTCTGTGTTAATTGATTCTATTTCTTTCTACATTCACACTCCTACAACCACATAATTAAACTTGCAGATTATAGTTTGTGTGTTAATTAATTATTTTGCTTTGGAAACAGCAGTTCACGCAGAAATTTGTGGGCTAATCCGGGTGCAGGTGCAGCCTGGTCAATTCATGGCTCTGGTACTCAAACTTTGAACATGGTTTCCTCTCTTTTCTAATTCCTTTCTCGTTTGCGTTTATGGCATCCTTAATTACAATGATATTGACGTGGCAACTCTCTTTGCAGCTCACATGTCTGCTAGGAATTATTACGATATACTTTGTGTGAACAAGAGTGCCACTGCATCTGAAATCAAGAAAACTTATTTAGGGGTGGGTTTTCTTCTCTTATTATATGCGTATCCTTCTTTACTGCCAGTCCATATTGTCCATTGCATAATTCTTTTGAGGTCTTGAAACTAAAAAATTATTTATATAATAAATATAGATTATAACTTGAAAGTCGTTAATAGAAAAACAAAAGAAAAAATATAAAAGAATCAAATTTTTAGGTTGTATGTACTTTTCGTCACTTAAGAGTGTAAGAAAAGGAAAAAGTTGTTATTTGTATGTGATACGACTGTAGAAATCTTGACCGGTATTGAGCAGAAATTGGTCACGGTTCTAAAGTCTTACGTTTTCCACTGTTATCAACGGGAAGTGTTTGCGGTGTGGTTTATTCAAATTTTAATATTTTTTTAAATTAATTTAATTTAATTGATTATTAAAATTTTTAAATCAATCCAATTTATTATATGATAATTAAATCAATTTAATTTAAATCGGATCTGTGTGGTTCAATCAGATTAATCGATTTTTAACATTATTAAATATATAAGATAATATAAAAATATTTTAACATCAAATAAAAAGTATAACTATAAAACATATTAGCATATAAATCAGTAAAAAATAATAATAAATACAAATTATAAACGAGTTCTTATATTTTTTTACATTTGTAAAAATTGAAAAGATCTAAAAATTCTTCTTGATTATATCACTTGAGGCACGAAGAACAATAAAAGATGACTTCAAGTTTCTAGCATAACGTAAATAATTCTTAATAATTAAAATTAATTTTTTTCTTAATGCACTAATAATTCAATCCTATCTTTTAAATCATGTTTAATCCTATCTTTTAAATTATGTTAAAAGTGAATAAAATTTAACATAAATATCACTAAAATTAATAAGAAGCATTCATAATCAAAATTTAAAACTTCTAAACAAATATCCAATAATAGTAAAACATCAAGACTAATTTTATTATATAGTTTTAAGATTTTTAGAATGATACTTATTTAAAACTTAATTAGGAAAATTATAAGATTATTTTACGTATAAATTAGAAATTTAGGACTCTAAAAGTAAAGGTGTAAACTAATTCTAAGGGAATAGAGTTACAGGTAAATTATTAAATAATAATTTAAATAAAATAATAATAATTTTGTATTAAAAATAAAAAATTTAAAGTTTAAATTTAAATTATATAATATATATGTAAGATAATATAGGAAATAAGATAAAATTAAATTTTATTATATAATTTAAAATTAAAAAAATCTATAAATCATTAATTTAAAAAAAAAAAACTT